TCGCCCAGCCTAATCCCGATCTAAAGCTTCATGTGCAATATGTGAAAAATGTCCATCATTTTGCATCCACATATTTTGTCTTTGTTCCCTGCTCAAATCTACAAGTAACGTTGGTCATCTAAAAAATTTCGGTACTTCTCTCCATTCAGCATACCATCAATAAAGTATGAACCGATCAATTTATCACCAATTATGCCACACCAATGTTCTACTTCACGCAACCATCTCGGATTTTCAACGCTCCAATAGTGCATGTTATGTCTATTGACTTGTCCTTTGTTTATAAAAGTAGACTCATCTGAGAATAGCACGTTACCAAAGAAATTGACGACCAACTGTATTCGTTCTTATTGGCAAAATATTAATCGATTTTCAAAATCACCTCCATAAAGCTGTTGATGCAAAAAAATGTGGTATGAATGATACTTGTTGCGCTTTAATATTCTTAAAATGCTGATCTGCGATATTCTGGCGTCAATTTTGAGGATTTACCTCAACGCTAGCTAATACCGCAATTTCCTTTTCTTCCGTAGTTACAGTTGCTCGCCGAGTTCCACATTTCCAGTGTTAGGCGTATTTCGATCAGGAAAACGTTCTCGATACAAAGCTATACTATCAGCAACCATTCTGCCACTTTCTCCATAAATAAAAATCATTTCAACTTTTTCTGCCACCCTTAGAGTATCCATGATTTAATGCAGTGCCGGCGCTAGCAAATGAAGCGCCAGGGTGCGGGAATCGGAGTGGCGCCCCCCCCCCAAGCATTTTAGGCGGAATGCGGGGGGGCGCCCAAAATGCGGGGGAAAAATTAAAAATTCATTTTAATTTAAAAAAATTAAAAAATGCATTTTCATTAAAAAAAAATATATAATCAAAGAAATATAAACAAACTTAAAAATGACTGGAATAATCATAATACTTCAGCAAAAATTTGAGAATTATACTGGTGAAAAACCAAACTTAAGGGAATAGTCGGGAATACTCTGGTCAGAAGGTTAATTTGCAAGAAAAAGTCTGAAATTGCAATAGTTATAAACTAGACTTCAGCAAAAAACAGGAATTACATTGTTCAAAGTCCACATGAAGTCTGAAATTGCTGTTCAGAGAAAACAAAAAATTGATTATAAACCAAACATGATTTTTCATGGCAATAAAAGAATGCGAAGAATATGAACAACCAATGGACTTGTCTTGTTATTGCCCAGGACAGGAAATCACCAATACGGAAACTTTGCCAATGCAGGATAAGCACAAAAGCAAAGTAACAGCTGTAGAGATGAGGTACCGGGTTGTACAAGATCCGTAGAGATAATAAGAGGCTCCCAAAAAGATGATGATAGACACCCAGATAGAAGTAGCTGTCAGTATCAAGAACGAAATATACATAACGTTGGCAGAAGATTAGATACTGCTTCTAAAAAACTAAATACTGCTTTCTGAAGACTAGATACCGCTCTGGAAGATTAAATACTGCTTTCTGAAGACTAGATACTGCCGACAGGTCTAAATACAGCGTCTGGAACACTAAATACTGCTTTCTAAAGACTAAAATTGCTTTGTGGAGACTAAACACTGCTTTCTGAAGACTAGATACTGCTGACAGGTCTAAGTACTGCAAAAGAAAGATAAGATATTGTTGGAGAAAACATACATAACGTTGGCAGAAGACTACATACTGCTTCTAGAAAACTAAATACTGCTTTTTGAAGACTAGATACTTCCGACAGGTCTAAATACAGCGTCTGGAACACTAAATACTGCCTTCTAAAGACTAAAATTGCTTTGTGGAGACTAAATACTGCTTTCTGAAGACTAGATACTGCTAACAGGTCTAAATACTGCAAAAGAAAGATAAAATATTTTGGAGAAAACATACCTAACTTTGGCAGAAGACTAGATACTGCTTCTAGAAAACTAAATACTGCTTTCTGAAGACTAGATACTGCCGACAGGTCTAAATACAGCGTCTGGAACACTAAATACTGCTTTTTAAAGACTAAAATTGCTTTGTGGAGACTAAATACTGCTTTCTGAAGACTAGCTACTGCTGACAGGTCTAAATACTGCAAAAGAAAGATAAGATATTGTTGGAAAAACATTAAAAAGCGATATTCTGAAAATGCGGACATAAGCAGTTCCACGAACTCTTGTTTTTTATGCGTTATTCTATTATCAAATTGACAAAGGAGGAGAAATGGAACCTTTTAGACCTCTTTTCAAAGGTATTTCCGACGAGCCAGGTCACCCGATGTACCTCTCCTGGATTTTTTTTTGTAGAGCGTTCTTAAATAGTATTCTAAGAATTAAGAACTAAAGACAATGTATTGAAGCGGGTAGGAAAATATTTAAAAATTCATAAATCTTATTTGTTCTTGCTAGATTATAAACGTTAGTTAATTGTTTCTGAAGAAGTTTCAATTTTTTTCGAAAGATTTTTTGCCGTTGTACTGGCAAAACCACACACTTTTTATATATATTTTTAATTACTTTACTGTTATCCACAGATTCAGATTTTACAATAAAATATATAGGGTGCCATTTAAAAAATTTGTCGTGACCTTCATATAACCTTGAAAATAAAGTCAAGGTCAAAAAATGTTATCGTCATACCCCTTCGCACAGAACAACTTTCATTTGGTTCAACGAAAATTACTTAGGGCGACCGACGTCTTCGAAGTCAAACAAAGGCAAGAAATTAAGACTCACTTAAACTACTTTAATATAACTCATTTAAAAAGATTAAAATTAATCAATTTAGTACACACAATTGATAGTATGTTAATTTCGGCGAGTTTTGATTAAGTAAGTTTGAGGATTCGTTGAAGTTTTTGGGCATGGTTAGGTTTCAGTGAAGTTTTTGGAGTTATTGATGATTGATTCGAAGGATTTTAAGTTTAATAATTTGATATTAAATTTAAATTTATTATTAAAATAACATTTTGATTCAGATTTTAATTAATTCCGTTTTATATTTAAATGTTTCGATGAAGTTTTTATTGAATCATATTGAAATTAACCATTAAAAATTAATGTTCAAGTGATCAAAAATTGAAAATTTGTTACCGTTCCTTTAATTAATGGTAAATATTGCAGATAAAAATTAATATAGCTATATATATTTTCTTCTCTCCTTTGCAGATGTAAATATTGTCATCTTTTCTAACTTTAGCCATTCTCTGATATCCTTCGGAATGTACAAAATGCATTTGGTTTTGCTTAGGATGCAGAAAGAACTCGATACCTTTGATGATCGCCAATCGAAAAATTGTATTTCTCTAGAAGTAAAATTGAGTATGTAGTAGTCCCTGGGCATCGAGCTTATCTCCTCCAGTAAGATTCCTGTTGCTCCAACTTCCAGCGTTTTACTCCATTTCGACAACTTCCTGTTATTCCTCAACCCCGTCGTATTTAAGAAGACGAACTTTGAAATGTTCGAGATTCCTCGTCGTACCGGGAGTTGAGCTGTACAAGAAGTATCGACGAACCGAACGCATAAACCCCATTTACGGCCCTATAAAGCGGTGTCCTTTGCCCAGTTTAAGTAGAATTGTGATTGTTACCTCGAAAAAAATATTTTTTCTTCTTCATCCCTAAGTTTATATGTAATATCCAAAATGGAATTCTTATGGATTTTTCATCATGCTTACCTGCCGATGCTCAATCAAGATGGTGGAATTAAAAAAAATATTTAATGTTTTTTGATGTGTTTCAAAATTACCAGGAAATAGAAAAACCTAATTGGTATGAGTCAAAATCGTTTTAACCGGTTTCAAATAGCTCGCTAATACTTACTAAGAACTATATATATATACATTAATGATAATGAGCGAAAAAGATGAGGTTATGTAGTAAACCACGATAGTTGATGTGAAATTAACGAGGTTATAAATAAGCGATGGAGTAGCCGGTGATTGTGATTGTGGGTTTAGTTGGTAATTAATTGTTTAATATAATGTGAAAATAAGTAAAGCGGTTGGTGGTATAACGCGATTCCATTAACATACCTATTCTAATTAACGCAGTGCGGCGTTGGCGCATTATTTGTTTATACCATAAATGGAATGGAATGTTGGAAAAGATGGAGTAAAAATATAATTTAGTTTGATAGTCAATAAAAGTTTTAAGAGGTCGTGTACATCTTTCCCGTAACCGAATACCGAGCAATCAATTAGCTTGGAGTAATTTAAATACCAATTACCGTTGTCTTAAGGTATTGGATGCACTTTTAACTCGAGGGAATTACGGCTTAATTGGAATTTAATATCTAATCAATTTGATACCGTGTGGTAAATTTTCAATGCTTCGTATCGACGTATTATCGCAGTAATTACCCTTCGTTTCTAGCTATTATTTCGTCATTTAATGGGGTTATTTGTTATTTATTCATGACTTAATCAATTTCGAGAACTCTGAAATGAGTAAATTTTCTCGCTCGCGGAAGACGTAAACTTGCTTAAATTCCGCCATTGTGATCCGACTGTTCTAATTACTTATCTGCTCAAGAACGGCTTGATATATTTCACCCGGGCAAAGGGTAGGCGAACTGTTTTGTACAACAAACGTGACACGCTCTCCTCTGCAACGCCGGGAGGCTTACACCTATCACGAAATTGTAATACAATTAAGTTTAAAGTTACACAAATTTCATCGGAGCCCCAATTCCATATCCCATTATCCTGAAATTAATGTGCTCGCTTTAATCCAGTAAAATGGCGTCGTTTATTTTCCTTTTTCCGACGGCCTTAAGACCTCAATCAACGTCATCTAAAAGCCATTACTATAGCAGCCGAGACGTATAAAATCAATAACAATCGGAAAGCGATAGCCAAAGACGACGAAACCCTTTCATACGGGCACGCGTGAAACCTTGAGGGGTTTCCAAAGGCGTGCAAATTGATTACGCAAACACAGCCAAAGAAAAAAAAAGAAAAAAAAGTTCCACTTACCTTTCAGCCAGAGGGACGGATACGAAAGGAATACAAAAAAACTGGAATAACATCTTACGGCTTTCAATATTTTTATTGTACACGCCGATACATAAAAATACAATAAAATGTATAAAAAACCCTCAATCTTCGCGTATATTAATGTGAAGTAACTATACCTATGATACATTCATATGTATAGATATCTTGGAGTTGCGGCATATACATCCAATAGGTATATATCTAGGTATACAAAAATAATCTTTGGTAGTTCAAGTCGAAAGCTACGGTCATTTAGAAAAGGTAATTACAAAATATATCCGCATGTTCAGGAATCACACGCTGCCGACAGTTTCTCCAAAGTATTTCTTTAACCATGTGTAAATCTCGGGACCGTTGTGCGTCACCCAGTTGATGTTGAGCTTAATAGTCTCGAGGCTTTGTTGCAAAGCCCTTGCCGCAGAACCCACGTCCATACCATTAAAGTACGTAGATACCTAAAGGTCAACAAACGAAAGATCTTTAAATTGGCTTATGGAATAATAGATAAAAACTAGATATGAGATCAAAAGGAACTGAAAACATGGAGAAAAAATAAATAGACCGTCGGAAAAATACATACGAGTGAAGAGGGGAAAATGTTTGTAATGAATTAAAACGCCATTGGGTGCTGACGAAAAAATTTGATTGGTAAAAAACGGTGTCAGGAAAGCAGAGGACGATAAAACATTTTTGATTTACGCACGGGGAATGACAATTTCCAGGCAGCAGGAGTTGTAAAACAAAAGCGGCATATTTATGGCTCGGACCATTTAGATTTACCTCGTAGTAGTCGTAGGGAGTAGATAGATGGGCAGTCACCGCTGATATGAGACTCCCCATCATAAACGTGGAGTTCCCGAATAGAGATTGCATCGTCGGCCAATATGCCTTGAGATGCCTCCAGGCCAAAAGACGACCTTCTGGATTCGCCGCCACCACCGCCAGCACCGTCTTTACATCTTGAGGCTTGACTATATTGCGGTCCAACGTTTCCAGAAGATATCTGTAAGCACATTTAGCATTTTAACGTTTTGTCCCTTCCGGGCATTCTCGATTCTTTAAAAAAAAACAACTCACCTATGTAATAACCACGGATCCGACGCAACCCCTAAAGCTTTAAGAAGCAGTTTTCGTTCGCTCGGTACATTACTCGAATTGTAAACTCCCCAACAGTACTGCCACTCCGACAGACCACCATATTTAATACCGGCCGAATAAACCACTTCTTTCAAATCGGGCGGTATCGATTGGTTCTTGGTCATCCAAGCTTCGAACATATTTCTCGCGGTGAATATCGTCTCATTCAATTCGCATAATACTGCGGTTGATAGCACGTCGGTGCGCATCAATCTAGAAAAAGAACACCAAAGAGAACGGGAATAACGCCTCTTCTCCCGATTCGTGCCATATAAAATTCAGAGAATCGTTAAACCGGGCGAATCAGTGTGACATATTGAGGCATTACCCGGTCTGCTGGATTAAACTATTATCGATTTCGGATTAATTAACCTACACGGCATTTCTTCCCCACCGATCTATTTCCAACCGTCCAAAATCCAAATTAGACCATCCCCTATTTGTTATCTACTCACTTCTTACACTTTATATATATATAAATTTATATTTGGTATACTATTATATATGTAACAACTAGCGACACCTATTGAATATTTTGAAGTCATAAGAAGAGTACCGATCGATAAAGAAGAGAGCAGTAGAACAAAGTTGTTGTTGTTAATGAATGTAGTTATAAAAGTAAAACAAACGAAAAACAAGTAATAAATGGACAAACGATAAAGCCCCTTTTATTTACTATAAAGTAGCGTTGCGATAAAAACGTGAATACGACAAAAATGAGGGAAGAAAACACAGAAAAATTCTACGCAACGGATATGGCGGTAAACTCAACGGCCATTGAAGAATTGGAGACGATCGATAAAACAGGTGATGTAACGGAAAACGAAATAGCATACAAAATACATAGAAACAAAAGATTTAATGAGTCTACATAAATCGTCGTATCTACATTTTTCCTAATTTTCAACCTAAATGCAAATTCTTGAATATGGGTGTTATTTCTACCTATTTGGCTAAGAACGTCCTAGCTGCTTTTAAAGTTGCTAAAATATACCTAAACATATCATCCTATCTCCAGTATTAATACATTTCCTAAGTGAGAAAATCCTATCTGATATTTACTAAAGTAAATAATCCTAACTAGCTTTGTTCAGTCTTATGACTATGTACATGAGTACTCAATGTGAGGGCTTTGCTACGTTAAAATGTCCGATGTTACCACGTGCTATGTTAAATTGGAAAAGAATGCGAATCTTAAACTGTCTTACGAGCTATATAGAAAAGAAATAAGAGCAATGAATATTTCATTTGCGAGACTTGGGAATGAGGAATGTTTTGAATGTGAAAAGTTTAACTTACACTCAACAACTACTCTTCATCAAAAAAACAATTTACCCGAAGATTGCGACTCATGCATGTTATAGAAAAGGCATAAGGAAAAATACAATATTGCCAGGGTGGAATACCAAAAGGATGGGAAACAATTCATAACTGATAAATTGGTGGTATCCGGTGATTTACAAAAAATATGCTTAGCTAAAGCTAAATTTTTTAAGGACTGAGAATTTATTATATCTTTGAACTTCCAGGTGATCATGCTGCCACTGTCATTTCAAGACTGATTGCCTTTAATGAGTCCTTTGTACCAGTTGGTCAATATACAAAGTCCACGAAACCTCTGACGGTGGTGTGGCACGAAGCAATCCGAGGAAGAAAAAAGAAGATTTGATTTCAACATTTTATGCGTTTCTATTGAGAAATAGAGACGTGTCTAACATAACAATTTGGCTGGACAATTGTGCAGCCCAAAACAAGAATTGGGCTTTATTCTGTTTTTATATCTACGCTGTCAATAACTGTTCAGAATTGGCCTTGAAAACTTTGGAAATAAAATACTTTCAGTCAGGACATACATTTATGTCGGCAGACGCGTTCCACCATCAGGTGGAAAAATCACTTAAGAGAATGGGGAAGGATTACACTTTGATGATTTCAAACGTGCAGTTAACGATGCAAACTCTTCTAAAGTTGACATTAAAGACATGACTATCAAAGACTTTTTTGACTGGAAAGATTAACCATATTTGCAAGATATGTCACATTTGGTATTTAGGGAAGGAGAATACGTAATGTGGTATAAAAACTTTCTTGACGATGATTTTGTCAAACTAAATTTTCTGACAGCCAAACACTTCAAGGAAGAAATGCCGAAGCCTACTTCCAAACATGAATGCCGAGGAATATCCGAGACGAGGAAAAATGACCTGATCTCAAAACTACGGCCAATTATTCCTGAAAACCGTCTTAAACTTTGGGAGTATATATATATACTCCATATGTGCTGACGGCAATAACGATGACGAATTTATGGATGAGGTGTAATAAGTTTTTATTTTATTATTATTAAATTATTTTTGAGGATTTGAACATTTTAGTTTCCGGCTGATAGGATACAATTGTTTTACCACTCCTATCATATATTATTTAGTAGCATTCCTTTTTCTTTACAGTTTTCTATATTTTAGGTGTAATTTTACTAAGACATAACATCTTATCTGCACATTTTTCTACATAATTCAGTTATAACTAAACTTACACTTTTTTAATCGTAAATAATGAAAATATCCATACGCTTTGAGATGGCATGCAAAGATTGAAAAATAAATGTTGAAAGATATGGACAGCGATTAATTTTCCCTTTAAACTGAATTATCTCAGTTTCAACATTTTGTTACTTAGGATGATTTCAGTAAGGACGGCAGAAATATCAAATAAAGTATATCAAAAACGGTATCAATGATAAAGATTTAGCGAAAACACTTGCTTTGAATGATGTTGATCAAAAAAATCAAACAATACGAAAGTGTTATAAAAATGACGCCACCCACACAAAAACCAAATATTCCTCAAAAAACTAATGGAAAAGAAAATGAGAAACCTGTAACGCAAGCAAAAAAATGCTATAATTGTAATGAAATGGGACACTTTTCAGAAAAAGGCCCAAAACCGCAAAAAAAAGAAATGTTTCAATTGCAATAAAGTGAGTCACATCGTCAGAGATTGCAAAGATGGTGAACAAAATTAAAAAGGTTGATCGCAAAGTAGTGCAAGTTTGTAGAAAACCATTTGACAGAAGGTCGCAGACAAACTAAAAATAGTATATACGCTATTCACCATTCAACTGAAGGGATTTGGAGGTGAATTAGGAAGAACAATCGGAAGATGCCAAAGTTAATCTATGATAATTTTCAAGAAGACGCCATAATTGTAGGAAATAGTGCTTTTTACGACCTCAATATTAAAATAATTAAACATGGAAACTCTTTGTCAGTACAACGATGCATCACTCTTAAAGCCGAGGATGAACTCATTTTAGAAAAGCCAGAACAAAAGAAAGGTATAAACGAAGAAACAATGATGATTGACGAAGATACAGAAAACTCAGAAAACAGAAGAAGACAACGACGGAAAGAAAGATGAAAATATAGAAAATAAATGCTCGATCCCATGGCGTAGTAGATAAGTCCTTAATAAACAAGACAAGCAATGATTAAAAGAAGTAACCAAAAGACCAATTTTAACGATATACTATCCAGAAACAGATTTTGAAATGCATACCGATGCCTGCAAGATGAGAATAGCTGGAATATTATTAACGGAATTGGAGAGTCGTTATCACAGCTACGAACTGGAAATTCTAACCGTTACAGAGACCTTAGAAAGATTTCGAACGTACGTGGTAGGTCGAGAATTTAAAGTGGTAAGCGATTGTATTTTTTTAAAAACCATCATGAAAAAGAAAGACTTGATGCAGCAGAGAATAGCACGATGGGTGTTGAAACTCCAAGAATACGACTTTAATATTAAATATCGCCCAGGAACTCAGATGGCTCATGTAGATGCATTGAGTAGGAGTTCAAATGAACGTATTATTGGACGTATTAACAGTACAAATTGATGACCAATTAACGATGCAACTCCAAGATGAAACCATAAAGAAAATAAAAGAAAATCTATCACGAAATCTATCACATCTACGAATAAATAATACTGTGATATTGGTTGCATACTGATGACGTCGGGTACGATAATTAATTAACACAATGTATATAGAATATTGTTGATGATTTATTAAAATTGAAACTGGTCAAATCAAATATATTTAATTAAGATTTAGTTATGGTATTTATATTTAGTAATCGAATAGTATTGTCAACGTTAAGTTCATTTGCACAACTAACAAAGAACTTTCGACACCTATAATATTGATTATAATGGAAGGGAGTGTGGAGGGGAATGGGATATGAGACCTCCTGAATGGTACCCTTCCACGTTGTGATCCCTCCTAAGCTTACGTTTACCTAATATAACGCGGAGCCGCTGATGAATAGTATTTAATTTGCGGATCGGAGCGCCGCTAATGATTTTGTTCTGCCCGCGAAAGCCGCTAAATCGATTTTAAATTTTCTACGTGTCGACACACCCCCGACTCGGCAAATGAACATAAATATCGCGAAAGTGAAACATCGATAATTTTCAATACGAACAATAAATAATTCCGACCTGTATAAATCGCGCGTGCATCGCTCTGTCCGGCTGGCTGGCCACTTGTCCCGATATTTCGATTCAATGTAGTGCACTGCATGTAGTTCCCGACTCATCCACCATTCTGACACTACAATTAACGGCTTGATGGATCGGACCGCGATTTTGATCGAACACGCTTCTTTGGTCACTGATTTGTAATTTGCTACACGCGCTTCTTTATTTCAAGTATTTTTAAAAACATATTTTAATTATAACATTAGAATAGAGATGAATCAGTCAATAACTCTCAACAGAGCGATCTCATTTAAATACCTTAACAAGCCTCCGGTGTTCTCAGGGTCAGAGATTGGGGGGTCGGTTCCAATTAAAATTAACAAGGGCGAGGTGGATGATTCTCAAATTGCCGCCATACCTCCAGCATTGTAAGTGGTCGTTAAAGGATACAACAGTAGGACAAAAAGAAGTGCGATGAAATGAAAACAGATTGCCCAGTGGGAGGAGCGACGCTAAACGCTGATCGCAGCGGAAGGAATTGCGTATACCCTTTAACTGGTTACTCTAAACTTTTATCTGGCAGACTATGCGGAAGAGATTGGCCTGGAAATGCTTATTGGGCAGTTTGGACCGGAAGAGAAAAGGAAATGTGAAATATATTCATCCGAATTATCGACCGAAAGGGAAAACTACGCCGGAAAGAGGATCCGCGCTGACACAAAACCGTTCAAATAAGTGGCGAAAACGTCGCGGTAATTTTAAATCTTATTAGGTAGAAAGTTTGAACTGAATTTAACCTCTAACAAAATGACTGTTCAGTGCCCGGAACTTATTTTGTCACACGACGGTGCGTTTTATTTTAAATACAAGGGAAGTGCCCGTGTCGGGGTTGCAACACGTTCAACAAAATTACCTCCAGGCTTTCAAAAGCCAACTTTCAGACGTTAATTAAAACAAAGGTGCACTCTTTGTCTTCCTCTACCCTTCGCGCTTCTATCGTTTTGTTTCCAATTCACTCTGGAAAAAGAAACCGGAAGAACCACAAAGATCGTTCCCGTGTTCATGTGTATCGTAAGTGTAAAATAGACGAAAAAGATGGATCAGAGAAAGCTCTAGTGGCTACAAACGTGAAGCCGTTCGCGTGATACGGGCGAGGAGGAAAAGGGTCGAAAGGAGCCGTGGCGACGTCGAAGAGCACCCCTACACAGTAATATCCAATGTTACATTTCTGAATTCATCTCATTCGCCTTTAATTACATCGCTCCCGCCCTCTCGGCGATCGTAAACGTCAACCCGACCAATTTCAATAAAAGTTTAGAAGTAGAAGAATCCAAAATTATCATCCCTCTTTGCCCGGACTCATAAATTCGAATTAACGTATAATTTGCAAAGTTTCTACCTAATATAACCGTTTTTACATTTCCGTTCATTTCTCTTTAACCAACCATCTCCAGTGACATTGAGCAGGGTTTTTGAAAAATTAACATTTTTACTTACCTATCTAAATGCGGCCCCTTTTCGTCCCAGCCAACGTGTTTCGTAACCGGAGTTAGTAGTTTCCTCATGTACTGTAGGAATAACTTATAAGGAAGCGCTTCGGATAGTCTTCTGCTCCAAGATTGGAAATGTGCAATGGCTGTAGCCCATGGGACGTAATCGCGCTCGTTGATAAGGTACAAGGACAATTCCAAAGCGAGGCTGGCGTTGAGCAGTCCCGCCCTGGAATGCAAAAAGGTGGTGATTGAACGTGACGAGAAGACTCGTTCGAATCAATTTTAAACTACCTGCACAGCGTGAAGGCGTCATCGATCAAACTAGCTCTATCGGCCGCGTTTAAGACGCTGTGGTTGCGCCTTAGGGTGGAAATAATCTCCATCCACATTGATTCTTCATACATTACCCGATAAAATCCCGATTGTTTCACGTTAGCTTTTAACCACTTTATTTCCGAATCAATTTCGAAACGAACTGAAATACAAAATTAAACATCATCCGCATTCATTTATTCATTTATTTTTACCATCGGTCATATTCATCCATATATTATAAACAGTTCCGGTATCGTTATCTAAGAAATACGATAGCGGAACGTACCATTTATAATCGTATTTTGATTTTGGCATTAATCTCGCTGTACTATTAAGCTCGTCGGTTGTGAGCAAAAATCTCTCTTGGTTGGCTACGATTTCATTGTTCTCCCTCCGAATTGTAATGAGCGGGAATCCCATTTGTTGCGTCCAGGTGTCCATTATTGCCTGAAAGTTGGGTCGTAAAGAATACGAGGCGCCACCTAACATTCAACCCCCGGAGCCGCCCAACGAAATCAATACCGACGCGAGGGTGAATGCGAGTTTTCCTACTTTACCGGCTGCTGAAAATAATTCCTACCTTTACTTCCAAAGATTGATTTGTGTTCCTGCTTAACGCATTCCAGAGATCTTTCGTATCGGCATTACTATACTTGTAAGAATTTAAATAATCGTTCAATCCTATTTGAAGATTTTCCTGTAGAAATTTTCCCAGCATGTGTAAAATTGAGGCACCCTTAAAATAAAATATTTGGGAGAGTTGTTTAGATAGCTTTGAATAAGTAAGAAAAGCTTACTTTACTGTAAGAGATAGTATCAAAAATAGCTTCGATTTCAGATGGATCGTGTACTTGGACAGAAATGGGATGACTACTGACGAGCGCGTCAAGCGCCAACGCAGGTTGAGTTTTATCTAAGATGAATTGCTCCATCATCTTCCACTCCGGAAAGAGACTATCAACGCCTAAGTACTCGAAAAAGCTAGCGAATCCTTCGTTGAGCCAGAGATCGTTCCACCATTTCATGGTAACGAGATTACCAAACCACTAAAATAAAACGGCATTAATTTTAGACGAAAACTAACTAACAAGAAATTACTTGATGAGATAATTCATGAGCTATAACGACCGCGACTAATTGATGGGCTGCGGTCGATGTTTCTATTGGATCATATAAGATGGCAGTATCACGATAAGTTATCAATCCCCAATTTTCCATGGCGCCAGTGGCAAAATCTGGAATCACAATTAGATCCTGCTTTGGCAGAGGATACGGCACCATAAAGAAGTCTTCAAAAAAGTCCATAATTTGGGTAGACGTATTCAGGGCAAAAGACGCCTGGGAGATAAAAGGAGGCGGCGTGTAAACGGAAATTGAAACGCCTTTCTTTGTTTGTTCATTCATGTGGGTGTAATCGCAAATAATAAACGCGACTAAGTAAGTGCTCATCTCCACGGATTCTTGGAAGTCATCTCGCAGCTAAAAGTCAATTATTTCAATTTCCTGACATCGATTTTTACGCGCTTACCAAGCCAGTTCCCATATAAAATCCGGCTTCTTCAGTCGTCACCACCGGCATATTAAATAATGCTATATGGAATCTATCTCTGAATATCGACATTTTGAACTTTGCCTTAAATTGGGGCTCGTCGAAGCAGGGAAAGGCAGCCCTAGCGTATGTTGGCTCGAAATGCGTCGTGGCCAGGTACCTTGAAAAAAAATCCCACCGTCACAGCAATTAATGTATCACCGTCTCAGCAAGGTGCATCTCACGGGGACAATAAGGACCTAAATGACCCAACAATGTACACGCGACACATTGTCTAACGAAACAAACGCATTGTCTTTGCGGAAACAAAGGGCTGCAAAGTGTATTCAATACTGCATCTCCCCCTAAATTTGACGCTATCTGGCGAGCATCTTATTCTCTCAACGCGTTCCAGTTTTCTCTCATCTGGAAAAACTGGCGATTTCACGCCTTGCTTTTATATTTGGATTAAATGGGACAAAAAAGACGCTTGAATTAAATTAATCTGATCAAATTCTTAAGGTGTTTAAAATATTTAAAGAGTTAAAGATGAAAAGATGTATTGGAACAACTTCAAAAGGTAGGTTAAGGAGTTTAAAGATTGTGAAGAGAAGATGAAAATTTCATATTGCCAAGGATAGAGTGAAATTGGCGCCCACAAAGGAGCAATTTGAAAGATTCCTGTGAGGCTATAAAATCCCAGACTGTGATATACGTTATTGGTTTCTTTGTTTCCGCAAGGAGGTGAAGCCGTTTCCGAAAGCGCGCGCGTAGCTTTTTCCGTAGCGTGACTAAAAAGTCAATATCTAGATGCAGTAAACGCTCCGTGTTTATTTACATTGCTAATGAACGGTCGGCCCAATCAGTTAAATAGATACGGTCGAGGGAGTAGGCTTAAGATATTAGTAATGTAATTCGGGAGCTTGAACTCACCTCCTATCACCATCTTTGCTGATATAACTGGAAATGTAAAAACCTACAAATTCCCTATTCAATTTGGAAGTATATCTTAAACTTAGAGTATAGTTGTTGCGTTTTCTAAACTTGTCCTTGATTTCCAAGTAAATCTGTTCCGCCGGTAAATATTCCAGCAGCTTGGTTATTCTCAAGTTGTGACCCTTCTTATCCTGGACAAGCTGCAAATCGTAAAGGTGTCACGAAACGTAGCGTGAGAAGGAAAAATCGAGATTACCTTATCCGTTATAGTTAGGTTCTTGCTGTGCAAGACTACGAAATTCGTATCTTTGTCGACGTGGAACTCTATAGACACTTGACCTAAAAACGCCGTCGAGGCCGTGCTCAGCGCCACAATTAAGAGGGGAAAAATCTAATTACCCTTCACTTCGAGCGTCGTCAAGTTTGGGTGGATGGTGATGTTGTACCTCGTCGGTTTCACGATGGAGGGAAGACGGATGTTGTTCCATGGAAAGACCTGTCCGTTTGTAGCCCGCGGGACGAATACCTTCGTTACGTTCCAATCCTCATCAACATAATTCGGAGGTTTTTCTCCTGCACACGTGCAATCTAAAATTTGAAACATCCACAAATGCTGTAAACGTTTACAACCCCATTACATTATTAGGGGTAACGATGGAAATTATCCCGCCCGCTCCATTCACTATGCATGATCTCGCTAATTGAAAGATCGATCAATAATTCTTGCCTGCTCACGTAAAACGGTCGTTATAAATTGTTCGTTATCATTATTACATATTGCATTTCCAACGGAACCCCAGTTACTTTTCTATATATACCGGTGGAAATGTCAAGATAATGTCGAAAATAAAAACAAAAAAAAATAAAAATACATCGAAAGGTTAAAAATGATTTACCTAAGAGAAAATGTTTTCAAAGTGACCACGTGAGCGAAATGTGTTATAAAGTATGGTTTGTTTTGACTGCAGTGCAGGAATGTATCAGCATGGTAAATAAAATTTATCAAAAATTAATTGAGAATAACTTACCACTTTGTGGTCCAGTGTATGCGATAATGAGGGCAACTGCAAAAAGTACGGCAAAGACGACGGTGGCGATGAAAAGTGCACGTTTTTGTGAGCAGGTGGCGACGCCGTTGTTTTCATACAGGCTCTTCTTGGTGGGCCCAGCTGGGCTCTCGGTGCCTGCAACACCGCCTAAGTGATAGGGATTATGAATGGGATCTGATGGCTGACAATGAGAGACGGAACGGGCGATTATCGCAGTACCTGTAAGAAACGCAACATCGTCAACATCCTGCTCGCTCATCACTGTGGAACCCCGCCGCCAGACGACCGCCTCTACGTTCCGGGCCCCAGTAACGACGGATACCTTAACCAGAGGGTCGCGCTTTCTGCCCTCCACAGTAGCTAATTTATTTCGAGAGAATTATTAAAGGGAGAACACGTCTGAACACTTTTGATTTCCGCTGAATGGCCTTCGAATATCCTCGAGCCTGTTTTAATCGCGACACGCACTGAAGGAATTAGGGGATCTGCGTCGACTACCCCATCGTAGCCGGTGGTTCTCTGCAGGGCGCACGCGTCGATGTAGAGCGGGAAATATTCAATAGGGAAAAACTGAGAGGCCTGCGCTCCGAACACGTGCTCCCAAAAACGGCAACTCGGCTACTGAATCTTTGAGCATGCAGGATCGTGCAAGTTACCTTCCGTACTCTTACCGATAACAGACTTTCGGCGGTACGAAGAACCCACCTTGTGGCCGGACATTTCCGTTTTGAGTTTGCTTGTACTTCCCCATCGGCTCCATGCGGATGGTGTCACCGGCGTTTGTTGGCGACGGCGAATTCCCCGTCATTTTTATGAACTTTACGGACTCTAGCAAATCAACCCTTACATCGCAAAAAGAATCAACTAAATACTAGAGGTTATCTAAAAAATATAGATAAGAAAGAGGTCTAACTCTCTACGAAAGTTCTTCGAACGCTTCAAAATACTCTTGCATGCTCTTGCCTTGTACCTGTTGACGTTCACTTTCTACAAACATTTATTGATGGATAATCACCAACTGAACGCATTGCTACCCCACAATCCTTTTCGCGCCCCGTTACCGAACCTTTTCCTTTTTTTCCCGGTCCCAAACGATCACGTGTACCAACTTTTCCCGAGTTCTAGTGCATTGTGTGGATGGCTAGCGTTCGGACCGGTTGATAGATGCCGTATTGATTTTTTCCTATCGCCCAACCGAACCTACTCTCCTATTTTAGCACCCCTAAATATTTCAAAGGGGTTCGCTGCTCCCCCTATAAGTCTACCAACCATAACCTAACTACCACACGGGAGGCCCTTTCTATTGATCTCGTTTCCAAAATATTATTCAAGCGCAAGCGCGTTCACCCTGCACTATTTACATTATTATCGCACGATCGCCCTCGTTTTCATTTTATTACATTTCCCAATCGATCCATGAAAACTTACTTTCCATATCTTCATCACAACATTTAATTTAAAAATAAATTAATAAATTATATGTACTTTCTTTCCACATAGCTAAAGATCACATCAAATTAATCGATTTTGTCGTTGAACAAATTTGTAGTTAAACGAAATTATTAAAAAAAAAAGAACGTGTCGTTAAACAAAGTTGTTTGGAACTTTGGGGGCTTATCAAAGTTTTTTATAATAAAGTTTCAAAGCAATTTCAAAGATTTTTTCGAGATTATCGACGGAAAGTTTAATCTTAAACAGATCAAAGAGTAAGTCCCCCAGAGAAATTGAATTCGAAGGGTCCGTAACCACCCCTCAGATGTGCTAAGAGGGTGAGGGTACAAAAACGGTGGAATCTCTTGAGAGACCAAAATGACGTCATCAGCTCACCCTAAAATATCTCTCAAATCGAGTGCTCTTATGGTTGCGGGTCGAATTAACGGCGAAAACGTTACGTTTTATTAAGTGTTGAAGAAGTTGCCTATGCATTAGTAATCTAAAATAAATTTAATAAAAAAAATTTGGTTTTTTAATAGATTTATTGATAAACATACATATGGCAGATATCTATTAGATAGTATCATACGGTGATAAAAGTAAAAATATAATTTTGGATACCAAAATAAGAACCTACAACTAATAGAAAATCTTTTAGTGAAGTGCGCTACTTATATATCTTTTTTAAAGAGTGAATGAAAATTTAAAAGTGATAGTACATGGCAGTTATATTAATAGCGTCAAACGGAAGTGGAAAAATAGTGTATGTAATATTGAATGCGAAGCACCATTTAGGTGATTAAAGAAAAAGCGGGCGAAGATTAAAGAAATATATTTTGCGAACGGAATATACGTTACAGAGATCTAAATTGGCACCGATAACCAGATGAGGCTGCATATAAAATGACCATAAGATAGTTAGTTACCCAACAACTCCACTTTTACATATAACTGCTTATGCTTAAACGTAAACTGTTCTCCATAAACAAACGGTCCCATCTATTTATATATTATATATAGTTTTTAAAAGAGTTTATAGAAAATTTTTAATGAAGTTTAAATTTGTAGATAGTACCTTTTGTTATAGGATGTCAGTAAAAGTAATCCTAATGTTTCGATTTTATCGAACTTCATACACTAAACCTATCAATGTACAAAACACTACGTTGCTCAATTTTTAGTCCATAAAAAAATATTAGCCTAATTCGTTTTCACTTTGATCATGAAAAGTACGGTCACTGCTAATCATTTAAAATTAAGCAATTAAAATCACAATTTTACTCCGCGTTTACGGAGGGCTAACTACAGAGTAAAAAACTAACTGGCGAAAATAGCTAAACGTTACAAAAAAAACCCACTGCTACCACCAAAAAAAGACGGCTTCTTATTTGCGCATTTACGTTTACAAAACATCACTCATACTTACACAGTCACATCCCTACCTACACTATTTACAAGTTACATAAAAGGCAAAGTGATCACCTGAATTCGTTCTTTTTCATTTCTTTTTTTAATCTGTATAAAAATATATTTAAATTCTGGTTATTGTATTAAATGGAAAAATAAAATCTTCCGCACCTGCACGGGCAGTTTGCGTTCGTAACTAATTCTACGGTTCTACGCGTAAAATTAGACATAGAAAATGTAATAGACGTAAAATTAACCTTAGAATAATATTAAAAACAAAAGAAAAACTCTTAACTATACTTTTGGTTCAGATAACAACACGTATTCAACAAAGTGTAAAGAAACGTTATTCTTTATGAGCCGGCGGTGGCGGATCTTTACGTTCGGAACTACCCATCGTTGAATTTGCTTTAGGCACCACTAAAATTGAACCATCAGCTGCTGTTTGTAAACTGAAATGGTATGGTGAATATTGGTTGCCATCTGGATCTCTTAAATTCTGCAACAAAAAATTATTTATTAATTCATATTTTATATATACAATAAAAATTTATAAATTAATTGGGTTGAGTTGCGTCCAAATAGATATATTGTGAATGTGTAGAAATGAAACGATTATGCGCATAACAATGCTTTAAAAATTTATTCGTTAAACGTGACCCCGCGTGTCACGTTGAATTAATGCGGTAAATTGATCTTAAACATTTTAGATTCTTCCTCTTGTTAGGTTTGCGAAGACAACATTCATTGACAGTCATAATTCAGTTATTGTAATCATACATGTTATATTCATACCTTTGTGATACTTGTAAAAAGGCGATGAAATCGATCCTTTGAAAAAATTACTTAAATTTTAATATTTAATAGACTCCTTTCTAATACTGTAGATTGTAAGGTTAGAAACACGTTGTACATTTTGAATCCAGCGAGACATTTCTACAGTTCTATGCAATTCTACAATTAATGTATATATGCAATATTAATTCAAAACGAATCAACAAAGCGAACCTGATAAAATGGACATTTCGCTCAAAAAGCTTGAGAAACACTGCACCACAAGACTTACAAACTACTGCACCTTACAAGATGGTTTTTTATTAATCTTGTGATAACAGAGAGCTGGGATCAAAAATGTAGTGAAATAGACATGTATATAAGAGATATAGAGAAGCTTGGGAATTTCTACAAGATATAATTTATCAGAAGAAAACTAATCTCCATCTCATTCTAGCTGATAAGTGGGAACAATATTACAGAAAGCTACTTATACAAGATCGCATACATTAATGAAGAGCCACAACGTGTGGAGAAAGAAACAATTATAGAAGACATCATGAAAAATCATGTATAAGGGATGCTAGAGGAAAACTTCCAAAGATAGCATTAAAGTGGGTGCCCAATGAACGAATGCGTGAGAAAAACCTCACTGATACAGATTGCCAAGATCGCTCACAATAGGGAAAGAGCCTAGAGGTTGGACAGCGAAGAAAAGCGCTATGAACCAATATACATATATACAGGGTGAGTTATTAGTATCTCGGCCGACGATAGTTACTAAATCATTTGAGATAGAAAAAAATGTTTTATATAAAAGTTAAGCAAGTATGTAAAATTTTTTAAATAGAACACATATATTTTATCAGGTTATGAATACAACTATATTTGTTTATCTAACCGTATAGGTTGAAAACTGAACGCGTTAATAGTTCCTGAGATATTCAATTGGTTTTCCAAAATATGTCCATTACAGGATCTTTCTAAAAACGATACCAAAGTGACATTTTTGCTGATTTTGCCCTTAAACTATGCCAAATAATAGTCAAAGCCAGTAGGTAGATGATAGTATGCAAAGATATTAGATACACTATACAGCGTGTTCATAAAACTTATTAAATTTTAATGTTTTGCAAATGGCTTTTTCAGAAGATTTTGAAATGGAACACCCTGTATATTATGTGCTACTTGAATTGCTCATCAAATTCCCTTTAATTAATGATAATATGTCATATGTCTAACTTTAGTAGATTTCCTGATATTTAGAATTTAGAGAAAAATGTGTAATTGTAGTTAATATTACATTCTGTCTATTTTTATGATTTTTTTTGTTTGTTTCTCATTTCTAAATCAGTACTTTAATTACTAGATTTAACTTTAATAAGCTATTTGAAGCAAATGCAGAAACAAACTATAAACACTTACTAAACATTGCACAACAAGTAGTTATTAATCAAATTAATATGCAAATTGACTTTAAGATGAACATAAATAATGAGTTATTAAAATATTAATTAAAACGAATATTTGAATGTTGAAATTTATGCAAAATATTATTTTTGATAAGTAAATAATCAAAAAGTGATAAAAATACAGCGTAAAATTATTTACATTACGTACACTTTTTTAAATCTCGTAATTTTATGATATTAATCGTAATATAGTATGATATAGTAATCGTATTAACACTTTGCCGTCCGCACGTTTCGCAAAAATTTATTCTCTTGGCGCCGGCAGAAAATTCAGATTACTTAGATCCATACGTAGCGCGCGACACCAATCTGGTGACGCCGGCTGTTGAGCGATACTTTTCGCGCGACACTACTGTTGTGTCGCTGGACGGCATAGTGTTAAAATTTGGCAAAATTCTTTTACATTACAAAATATTAATCAAACAAAACAAGAAACAACAAAAAAAACTGACAAAAATAGACAGAATATAATATTAAGTACAATAATGGCATATCTTATTAAACATTTTTCTTTAAATTGTGAATATCACGATAACTACTAAAATTGGACATGTGATATACTAAACATAAATTAAAGAAAACTTGATGGACAATTCAATCAGCACATAATATACAGGATGTTCTATTTAAAAAATTTAAGAAAACCCATTTGAAAAACATCAAAATTTACAATGTTTTATGAACACGCTGTATCTAATACACTATCATACACTATCTAATACCTATCATCTACCTACAAGCTTTTACTATTATCTGACATAGTTTATAGGCAAAATAAGTTTTTACATCGTTTTTAAAAAGATCAAAATAATTGAAAATCTCAGGAAGCATTAATGTTGTGAGTTAGTAACATAGGATAACTAAATTTAATTGCATTCATGATATGGTAAAATATATAGGGCATTACATTTAAACAAATTTACATACTCGTCGTCACGTCCAAATGCAACACCCTATATAAATGAAAATAATTTTATGTTATAGAAAGTGGCGAATCAAACAACTTTGGTTTAAAACACTTTTACCTATCTCAAATGATCAACCGCTAGGATACTAATAACTCACCCTGTATATGATAACATAGAAAACAAGTTCTTAAAAGAGATCACAGAGATAAGAGGTGTTAAAACAAGTTCAAACACGCATAGCCAAACAAGATTGGTTGTATATGTTGATACGTCTTCGCATATATATACTATCTCCTATATCGCTGACTCCCTATTTAAGCAATGAGAGGAGAGCGTTTCCATCAAAGGCAGACGGAATGATATATTGTCTCTCTTTGTCATGCCCCCATGTCGCGAAAGCGCTTGCGCGAATCGTAAATTTTAAAGAGTTTGAAGTGTTTCGCGCGTATTTTATGCAGCTTTAAAATGCAATTATTATAGATGGTTTACTTTAACTATAAATTATCATTGATGCATCAAATAAATTAGAATATATGTACTTTTGTGTGAAATTGAGGTTGAATATTGCATTAAATATCAACTTTATGTAGGTTGTTCATTAACATTATATTTTTTAAAATTAAATTAATACATACATAGTAATTATTAAAAATGTGTACCAAAATATAGTTACTAATTGTTAACATAATTTGTGAGTAAAATATGTACTTAGGTACGTACTATTTAATGTACATAATATTCTATCATAAAATTTTCATCCATGTAATTATTAATTAAATATCTAAGAAAAATGTTTCAAGAAAAGGAGGACTTTGAATTCTTTTTTATTACACTGAGATCTTTCCTTCTACCTGTTCAATCAATTTTTAGGCCCCAAAAATATCTCCACTACTCTTTTTCTTTTTTATTTTACTTTTCACAAATTTTCTTCACTTTCTTAACAAATAATAATTACATTTTAAATTGCTTAGTCCTAAAATATGTTAATAATTATGTTATTATACACATGAAACCTATAATATACATAACTAAATATTTAGATTTTAGGTTATGTTTATGTTAAACATTTATTTGGTCATCAGCTGCTATTAATTTTTAATTCACCGTCCAATAAGATAAAAGCGTACTCATCACGTGCTCACGCATGCCTCTTGAGTAAAAGGGGGCATGACAGAGACAGATATATAAATATATATATATATATATCTGCACTCTAATCTTTACACTCTTTTGCTGCCTTAGTCAGCGATATAGGAGATAGTATATATATGCGTCTTCGACAGTTCATATAGATAGCACCAATAAGTATTTATATATTGCCCAGCACCACTTTCAGATTGTTTGATGATATTAACAAAGCAATCATCTTAAAGTGTGCCTTCTTCTATAACCGGTTTTAGTGACCTATTAACTTCAACTGCAATTTGGGTCTCAAAGATTCTAACTCTTCAAACTAACTTTTGAAATATCACAAAAGAGTAATCACAACTCAAGTCAAGCATTAGGAGCTACCATGGTACCATACTATGATACTGCGAGAGCAAGACAATGAAAAGCAGTAAATAAGAAACTATATTTAATAAGAAATTTCTAAAGATGCATAATTCGGATAATACCACATTTAACAAACTAGTCTTTTAGAAAAATCGCGTTTGAGTTCAACTATTTCTGATTTTAAAGCCGATATATATCTGTTTCCCTATTTTAACAACATAAAGATATTTTAAAAATAAATAAATTTATTTAGGTTTTTAGTAAATATTTATAATTAAATATCTCGGATCATGTATATAAATAAAACCTCCTTTTCTTTTCCACTTATTTTCTTATTATTTATTCAAATCTTCATTCAAAGCCTTTCTTTGAGTTAACCCATAACTTTAAAATTGGTATTTCGAAACTTAATTGTATTATCTGATATATATGAAGTGGTTTTTCTCTTCATATTACTTACTTGAAAAACATGCCTATAAAGCTGTTGATATTTATCACGCACACGTTTGTTTTCGGCCGTGATATATTCATATTCTCCAAGTAGCCTTATTTTCCGATCTCTCATCGCCCGCACTTCATCGGCTAACGTCAAAATTTGGTCCAATTTTCGTTTTCTACAATTTTGTGCTGCCACCTACAAAAGAAACGTAAATTATAATTTTAACGTTACAATTTTAACCGGTGTTACTCACTTTATTTTTCCCTCTGCGTCTAATATCTCTGATCAAACTTAATTGTGGTTCGCTTAAATCATATTTGGATAGGCGTTCGTTGAATTCGTCCATTGGTAAATTAATGATATCGTCAACAGAGATAGGGACGTTCAATGCACGAGCTCTCTTTTCGTCTCTTGTAAGATGTTCGTTATCGCTTTTGCGTGGTTTTCCTTTATCTCTAGAAACAGGCCTTTGCATGGCACCCGTGCTTTCAACTGGAAGATGGTAGGTGTGGTTGTGTTGGATGTGATCGATTGGGGACCTGCCCAAATTGTGTCTTCCAAATTCCATGGAGCACGAATATTTCATTTCGGGCATTTTGTTTCCAACAGCACCTTCAGCTTGGTTTGGCGTGCTGAATGATGTTGCTGTGGGTTCTCTGTATTCGTATTTGATGGGAGTTGGGGTTGAATGGGTTACGGTGCTGGCTTGTTCTTGGAAACAGCGTTTACCGAACATTTGGTGCTTCTTTTGAGCAACCGGAGGGAGGCGAGCAGCGTCTGAGCTGCTCATAGCTCCAGAGTGTTGCCTGCTGGAGTAACTATAGTCGTAGGGCCGAAATTTACTTCCATGATAGTCGGTGACATAGTGATCGCCGGCTGTATGCCCGGAATCGGAGCCGGCATCACACCATTCTCCATCGGAAAGGGACGGTACACGTTCGGAACCCATGGAACTGACGGCGCTATCGCTGGAGGTATCCATACGTTCTACATCGGCTCGCGACATAGTGCCGTTGGTAGCTGATGCCATACTAATGTTGTTAACGGCATTGTTGCCGCCGTCCAACATGCGCATAGTGTACATTCCTGGAATTAGATTAGAATTTGAATTTTCCGAAAAGAACCAGCAGCACAGCGCCACTATTTATATAAACGTCAAGGACGTTTAAATGCGTACCGTAAACATGAACGGCGCACAATTTCAGTGTTAAAAAAAGTGATTAAACTAAAACTTCAAAATAATTGAAATTCGTTATCTTATAATGTAAAATAAATCTTTTAATCCGGTGTTACTTTATCAAATTCGAGATTGTTATTCGGCGATGTCAACAAAATCAACGTTAAGTAAAGTTTTAGTAAACAATTTGTCGAAATAAAAACATTGCAGGTTCAGCATTGAATTGCATTAAATAACGTCTTTCAATCCATTGTTTCAAAGCTTAATAATCGTAAAAATAATTGTGACGTCTATTTGAAAAAAAAATCGCTCGCGATTGTTTCAACTCAACGCAGATATTGCACAATTTAGTTAATATACAACCGCAGAGATAAAAAAACTTTTTTCCTCAAAACAAACAAGTTCGAAACAAAAATTCGAATAATAATATAATTAAAATCGTCGATTAACTAAAATTTTAAATTTGACTACATCAATTACACTTACACGGCAGGTATTTACAACTGCAACAATTATGGAATATACAACAAGGTCCTCTACAGCATCCGCAACACATTTCGATCGTTATCAAATGGAAACTGTTCCGAGAAGGCGACCCGGAGCATTAATACGACCAGATCACCGGGTCTTATCATAAAATCCTCACGATAAAGCGATAACGTCCTCCGTGCAACTAAGAACGTTAAAAATAAGCGGTTATCTCGCAAAACTAACGCGATCGCCGTACCGCGCCGAGACGCTCGACTTAAAAATAAACTATATGAATATTTTCGGCGTCCAATCGGTCGATCTAACCCGTTAGAGTCACAATCGCCGCTTTTTCTAGTCACATACGACATATTCCTTGCCAATAGGTGGCAACACCGATACATTAACACCGTAACCCGTGACGTAGCACTTTTACCTTTCACGATAAACAACTCAAGAATATATAATCAATTGAAATTGTTTCTAAATAAACCAATGAGCGCAAACTACGTTTCTAGTGTTATCAAGTTTGAATAAAAATAATTATTACAATGAGCGTTAACTAAAATTTTCCATTGAAAAAAGTTTGTGACATTCCTTATCATTGTGTAATTTACTCGAATATCTTTCACAGACTAAACAAAGCATAAACATATCTTTTTTGATACTAGGTGACTCTATTTAGATCTAACTGAATTCCCAAAAAAATCCGGTTTGTAAGCAATTCCGGACATTAATCTAGTAATTGTAATTTTCACAAACGTTCAAGACAAATTGTTCAAACATTCTCAAAATTTCCCAAAATCTTGATGACCTGATAACTGTTGTCGTGTTCCGAAATAATTGTTCGCGGTAAGCAAACGATGATTAAGCCATATTATGACAAGACCATCATAAAACTCTACAGCGACAACAAAAGATAATACGTAAAACACCAAGAAAAAAATTAAAAAATTCTATTCATGTTTATATAATTAGAAATAGTTTAAATAATTAATAACAATTTATGTTACCTTCATTCATAGCCATGTCCATTAACTGGAGATCTTCGTCGTTAAGAATAGAAGAAAGGAACCCATCAGTTTGATTCATCTCCGATGTAGTATTCTAAAAACAAAATTTATACATTACCTAATTATTTTTCTTAAATTTAGAGAAAAAAATTACCTGATAATACATCATATCATGAGATGGTTCGAGTTTGTAATGTGCTGATGCTGATGGTTCGTTCATTGGTTCACTGCTATTGGTGAGGTTCATAGATGTAGCTACAGCATTACCAATATTTGTACCACCTAATAATAATAATAATACACGTGTTTAAATTGAAATTTACCTTTCCTCGCAATGATCAAGTTTAGAACCGCTAACATTGTGGATGATCGATTTGAAGTGATATCGATATTAAATGAAAAAAGTTTTGAAGCGTGAGTATCGATGAGCTTGTAAAATGCGCGTTGTCACGAGATCATAGTAAACGTGACATGTACGATTCGGGCCGATAAAAAGCTGGGATGATATAATTTATTGTAAACAAACCGCGAATGTGAAAGTCATTGATTCGAGTTATCTGGGCGGCGGTGTTCCCCGCGCGTGCGCTCTATCAATTTTCGCCTGTAATACAGATAATAAACGGTGCTGAGTCACCGCGTCACTGAATGAACCAGACCGAGTGAATTGTAAATATATATTTAGAAAAAGCCAAGCGTCGGAATTCCATGATATGCAGAAATGTTTCCGACAGTGACTCGGCTGATTTGTGCGTTGGAGTAGGTCGGAGTTCCCTTAATAATATTTTGAACGATAATTGCGAATCATTGTGCCAATTTCACTCTGTTGATATTCATCTTTTCAATATCAATACCAACTCAAAACATTTACATATACTTGTACTTATCAATTTTTTAAATCAAAGTGTTGCGGTTTGTACACCATGATAACATATTTGCACAAATCTAGCAACATTAATAACATGACAACATAAGTGGTTGCATACCTTTAATATAAAACAAAAACAAAAAAACAATAGAATAAATGAATACAAATGAAATTTATTTGAGTGAAATTCGATCGATTTGATACAACGCGATTGCGCAAGAAACGAAGCCTCGAAAACAGGCGGAGTTAGAATTTAACTGTGGTGGGGAAAGAAGAACTTACCCAGATTGCTGTAGGGGACAGTTGCGTTCAAGTCTCCCATTGGCGGAGTAAGCGTAGCGTTGTGAAGGAGTACACCCCTGGCATCAGGGCCGTAACTCATGCCGTGAGCATGAGGGTGGCTGTAATTATGTAAAGCATGATGATGACTGAAAGGGTGCGGCATCGAGGAGGCGTCGGTGGCGTTTGGGAGACTGAGCAAATTTGCAAGATCTTGCCATCGCTGTTCCATGCTTATGGTACGCCCGAATGGCATCCGGCTCTAAAAAAACATAACAACATAAATTGGAACGTTGAAATTATAAACTCGATTAAACGGCGTTATTTGCAATTTTCGTCTGGGTCGAATTTTAATTGACCGTTAATGAAATACCTTTCGATACCTGCGCCTAAGGCGCATGCACGTTCAGTTTTATCGCAGGTTATCTCGCGTACGCGAATCGGAATTTAACAATAGAACTTGTCGGCGGCGGACCAGGTAACGGCCCTTCGACTTCAAGCTGCCACCGGCAATTGTTGTCGACCCTAATTTGACAAGCCAAACCGCAAAGTGGCTCCTTGAAAGATCCGGACCCTAAGCGCGTTCTCAGAAAAAACCCGAATTTTGACGCCTATTCCCTTCACACTAATTGATTTCTACCTAGAAAGGACTCTAATTACTTCATCTCACCACAAATTTTCTTTTAATTTTTTTTTCTTAAATTATTACTATGTTGTTACTTTAAAGTAATTTCAACCCAAATTATTTTTTCAATTCACTAATGACTCAAATTTATAATATCTAGATCATTGAGCATTACAAAGAAGAATTGTTTCAAATTTAGACAGAATGTAATATTTCAATTTTTCAGACCTTTGGAGGTTGAATTTCGACTTCCTAACGCTATAAAAGTTCGAGAAACACTTGAAGTCTATGTTAAAATCGTTAATATCAATACTTGTATAGATATAAGTAAATAATTTCATATTTTTGTGTGTGGCAGAACTAACTCTCACATTTCAGAAAAGCACAGATGATTTTGACATCGAGGTTTTATCCCAAAAATGTAAGTTTACTTTGAGTTATGGAGTTGTTATAAAACCTATTTTTCTCTTTTTGGCATAGAGTAGAAACGATACTTTCGCTATTGGTTAATAAAATTCTCTTCTGCACCCGAAAATTAATAAATACGAAGAAGTTCTCGGATTTTGGACCAACTAAAGAAAGTGAATTGATGAAAAAATTGAAGGAATTTCTATTTTTGACCATATTTAGTTGTAATATAAAAAGTTTTTGATCTATTCATCAAATGACTCTTATAGCTTACTATATATACTATGCTCATCATGATAACATATTAGGTCAATTCAGCCGAGGCGTTATATTTGAAACTATTATTATTACTATGTTGTTACTTTAAAGTAATTTCAACCCAAATTATTTTTTCAATTCACTAATGACTCAAACTTATAATATCTAGATCATTGAGCATTGCAAAGAAGAATTGCTTCAAATTTAGACAGAATGTAAGGAACATGGACTATATTTATCTGGAAGTAATTTAGTTTTTTTAAGAAACTCATGGTCCGTTTGGCCTTTAACTATATCAAATTTTTCAGACCTTTGAAGGTTGAATTTCGACTTCCTAACGCTATAAAAGTTCGAGAAACACTTGAAGTCTATGTTAAAATCGTTAATATTAATACATTTATAGATATAAGTAAATAATTTAAGATTTTTGTGTGTGGCAGAACTAACTCTCACATTTCAGAAAAGCACTGATGATTTTGACATCGAGGTTTTTATCCCAAAAATGTAAGCTTAGTTTGAGTTATGGAGTTGTTATAAAACCTATTTTTCTCTTTTTGGCATAGAGTAGAAACGATACTTTCGCTATTGGTTAATAAAATTCTCTTCTGCACCCGAAAATTAATAAATACGAAGAAGTTCTCGGATTTTGGACCAACTAAAGAAAGTGAATTGATGAAAAAATTGAAGGAATTTCTATTTTTGACCATATTTAGTTGTAATATAAAAAGTTTTTGATCTATTCATCAAATGACTCTTATAGCTTACTATATATACTATGCTCATCATGATAACATATTAGGTCAATTCAGCCGAGGCGTTATATTTGAAACTATTATAATATTATATTATATACCGTGAATTTCACTTAAGATGCAATATACAAACATGGATTTCCATAGAAACCAAGACATTAGTAGTATTTTGATATTTATACTTATGTTTAATATTAACATTAAAGCATGTACACAAAGACAAATCTCAGCTAGTGACATGGTATCTTTCGGGATTAAGTTTGCAAGCAATGGCTGACGTTTTACGACACAAAAGTTATGCAGAGTTTCATTCTCTTCAGTTTATTATTTAACTTTTTTTCCTAGAATCACTAGGAACGGAGATATTCCCTTTATAATTTCAGGATGGAGGCGGAATAGGGCATCTCTCGAGGTCGAAAACAGAGTTATCATAAGGACGTCTTTTTTTTCCTAGCAAAACTTTGCCTTTGTCTCAGCAAAACTATCCAATGACTGTACTACATAAGCAATACTGCAAGTGCATAGTAGTTTCGTCATTATGGTTATGCATCCATATATTGCGATATATATATATATATAATAATAATAATAACTTATATTTGAAACTCTATATTACAATTAACACTATATTCATTACTTAAATATATAGTAACATATTACTTCTTATTGAATTTAGCCGAGGTCGCTTGCCGCCGAGGCCTAACACTATTTGTTGTCCGTATTGATGAAGTTTTAGACAACACATAATATAATGCCTCGTCCGCAAGCAACCTCGGCATAGTATAAAACGGAAAGTGGATGATTGGTGATTGATTAAAATGCGTAGTTGCATTAACTGAGTTTTGATGTAATTAATAAATTTATAATGAGGACGAAGCTAAGCGAACTTTTATCTGTAATCTCAAGCCGGAGATTGAAATCGTTCCTGCCTGTAGCTATCTTACATCTGCGTTTATACTGCTCATCGCAATAAATTGCTGACGTTATAAAAGAAATTTATCCATAAAATAATATATATACAGAGTGTGTATAAATTGGCGGAAAAGCTATACGTGACGATATTCTTCGTTTGATCGTTGCAAAAATGTTGTATCTTGCTTCGTACCTGTTCACGAGGTTCTCAAAGGTCGGACAATTAGTTCATAAATAAGCATTAATATTGAAAATCTGTTGATGGAAACGGCTGCAATTTAGTATAAAAAGAACTTTAAAATGATTTTTTTGTTCACGTTATTTTATGTAGGTTTTAAAGTTTATTTTTAACATTTGTTAATTAACATACATTCACGAAAAACACACTTGACACAATAGTAGAATTTTGTTTACAGTTTTGTCAGACAGAAGTCATTTAAAATTGAAAAAATAAATAATTCATAATGAATTTAATTAATAAAATTCTAATTTTGATTAGTATTTTACGATGAAATGACGAAAAAATACATTCGTAGATTGAATTTTTGAAAATATGACGGCACCTAACAGTACATGCCACATATTTATGTTTCTTTTAAGTGCCTCCTGAAACCATACGAGGCGCGATACAACATTTTTGTATTAAGATTTTCAACGAAAGCTAACTTTTTGTTTAAAACTCCTTCTTCTCCAAGTTACATCCCTCTAAAGTTAGGGGAAAAAATTGTCTTTATTAGACCCTCCTTAATTTTTGCAGAAAATCTTTCGTATCAATTTAGAAACATATATTTCACAAAGTTCGATCGAAACATTTTGTTAACATCCTAATTTCTCTCATTAAAATCACTTTTAATATCAAAGGACCAAAGAGACGATGGACTGTGGTGTGCTGTATTGCGTCGTTCAATAGTTCAGTCTTTTTCTTGAAGTTGCAGTGAGCAGTGTTATCAGCCGTGGCATCACATGTTGCCATTAATACTATATTCATTAAATATATGTTAACATACGTAATATACTCCTATATTCTTCCTCCTGAGTTTAGCCGACGTAGCTTGCGGCTGACGCCCAGCAATATTTGATGCAATTTTAGACAAGACATATGTCATATATTCATTAAAATTTGCATTAACTGATTTTTGACGTACAATGTGGTCTAAACTAAGCGACCTTTTTTTTGTGTAATCTTGCTTGTTTTCGTTGATGCAACTTAGGTTCATATATTATATATTATTATATACAGTGTGTCCCAGGATAGATGTTACAAGAGGTATAACGACCTAAAAATGTTTGAATTTTATTTTAGGGATGGGTAATTAATAATTAAGCTCTGCTTGTTATGAAGATAATTTTCATATTTTCAAAGTCGGCCTGACAGTGAAGCGATAACTATTTTTAGTTCAGGTAAAGTAACATTTTTGTTCATTCATAATGAAAAGTTGTTCAAAATGAGAAATTATGATCCTATGCAAAATTTCAGAAAGATCTATCTACTTTGATTGAATCATCACATTTTAGATTAAACATTTTAGTATATCTCGATTGTTCGGTATTGGTTGAGTTGAAACTAGTTGTTTAAGGCGAACCCATAACAAAAATCAAATATTGTAACGTCGGAAGACCTTGGAGGCCACGCAATTGGACCCTTTCTAGATATAATCTTTTCTCGAAATATTAAATTTAACGATTCAGCTACGCGTGCTGTAAAATGTGTCTATCAGCGGGATGTCGTCTAAATATTCTTCCTTGAACCTTTCAACTAGCTGTAGATAAGTATACTGATAATGGCCCCTGTATGAAGAAAGGCCAAATAATACCTAAACTGTATGAAATGACGGACCACACATTAACTTTTTGCTAATACTGTTTTCTACAGTTGATGTGAAAATTTGGATTTTCCGTGGTCCAGTAACGAGAAATTTTGAAAGGAAATAAGGAGATTTGTACTAAAAGATGTTTCGTCCGAAAACCGAAAACATAATCTTTTTATAAAAATTTTGTTCTTTAATGCATTTTTCCCCGATCTTAAGACAAAATAATAATCATAATAAATTTTGGTTTGAATGGCTTTACCTTAGTGGATTTCTACTAACATTAAGAAATTATGAACGTTCCCTCAATGATTGTTTAGGATGTTCTTCCTTGGGAATTAAGAGCAATAATAGTTGTGGTAGCGTAGTCGTAATATTTCTTTCTTTCTTAACGTTAACAACGCTTCCCCGTTGTAAGAAATTTCTTAACAAGCCATACATGTAAAATTGGTATTTGGAAATCTTTTTCGTCTTCGTTCTGATCTAATCTAAATTATGGCGGCTTAATCAATGTAGGTAGATCTTTCTGAACAACTTTTCTTCATGAAATTTTGCCGTATCATGAACAATAAGGCATCGGGGTTTATAGAAAAGATGATATTTTTGCCAAAAATTATCCCATTTCTTGGTTAAACTGTTATCTCCCTCAATTACAGTGCATTAAAAAACAATCCTAAATTATTATAGATATTTTAGTAAATGTTTTGCATACCTGGTTTCTCAACATATTCTGTAATTTCTTTCCAAGCATTGTCTTTTGTATATTGGTCACCATCAGCCAAATTTGAAAAATCATAAACACATAGAAACTTTTAACACTTTAAATTGAAACCGTTGCTGCTTGCAACTATCTGACGTCTGCATTTAGACTGCTCTTGAAGGGGACCACTCTTCATTCTACAATCGTCAAATTGCTGACGTAACATAAGAATCTTATCCGTAAAATAACATTGAAGCAGTAGACAAATTTTTGCATATATATAACAACCACAAATTCAGGAAAATATTCTTGAAAAACCCTTAGATAAAAATGCAGAAACAAAGTGTATGTATTTTGCTGCTACACATTTAGAAAAGTAAAAATGGAGAATAAAAAAAAGTGTTGGTGAGTTCAACGCTTTCTCAGAAGATGGATCAGATGGCTTCGGTCGTGGGATGTCGGCGTCTGAAAAATTGAAGGAAAATTAAGGAATTGAGCCAAGGGAATCAATACACTGAAGTTAATTTATAGAATTTAGACCACACGTCATTGAGATTATTGATTAATTTAGAAGAGGTCTGAAAAATTAGTAAAGTTGAAGACAACAAAAAACACATTTTGTTTCCAGAAGCGATGTTCCGCATAACGAATTCTATTCTCATCATTTCTTAGCGTCGGTCAAGTTCCCTCTTCCCCTTCAAATCGCTTTTTGCCATTTCTGGCCAACCTAGTACAAGACGCTTTACGAACCTTGGCCGTGAGTTGTGGAACCTTTAATAGAGCGGCCATTGTGATCTCGAAGAAGCGTTCGATTCCTGATGAGACCTTCACCTTATTAAATTTTTTTATTAACACATTTTCATCCTGATAATGACCTTGAATACACTCCAATTCAAATATATATAACATTACATTACTAATAATTTTGTAAATAAAGTTTATTTAACTGTTTTGTCTAAAATATCTTTTGAATTGATGGGACGCACCCCAACACCTAAAGTAAATATTTATCTTCCCTTTACAGTTACAGAATCGAATTCCAAGACACCTGTTTTGTCTAGGATATTGTGTTCACCATGAACGGTGCTTGAGACGACAGGTCGTTTTGAATTTGAGAGGTTCAATAAAAATGAAAGAAATCGATCAAATCAAAAAGTTATTTTAGGATATTTTCTTATTCGATTTTGGTGATAATAAAAAAAATAATTATGAAACAACAAAGTAATAATAAAAGCAATTATTTGTTGTGGTCGAAATTCTTAGTTATTAAATGACAATTAAGCAATTGTAAATTTGAAACAGGTTCCTCAGACGAAAATTCTCGGCGGATTACGCAACGAAACGATTATTGTCGTCTTAAAAAGCTAATTTCACCGTATATTTTAATTGCGAGATAGATAATGATCCGGAATAAGGCGGCAAGGCTACTATAATTCCGTTTTAAATACTAGATTCGACTCGCTCGTGCGCAATTTCGACAAGCGAATCGAACACCAACTCTCTGTACCTCTTCGAGGACGGCACGAAATAATCAACTTCGAAGTACTCAGGGTCACTTTACTCTTTTTTTGCCGGTTACTGACGCAAATGCTTTGGGGGAAGCACAAAAATTAGGTACTATTATTACGTGTAATTCTTATATAACTTAACAGGATTTTTACTCTTACTTATAAATAAAATGTACATAAAATTATATTTATTTACCCAGAATTATTTTGACGATTTCAATTTAACCTTGAAACTAGTTGAATAATATTAAAACTTTATATTAAAAAATTACACTTATAACTTAACACGAATTGGGTTTATAACTAAAGTTTGCGAGGATTACACCTTTCCCCTCCACCAACAACTCCAAATAATCAACCAGTATCTCGCAGTTTCTAAATAGCTGCATTCGTTAATTTCTTGATAATGAATTGGTATACATGAATTTTTGCGATTAACACCTAATTAAGATTAAATTAATTTTTTTTTAGTTTAACACGAATTTAATTCAAAAAGATTTTTCTATCTAGATAAGACGCAATTATTGCGTGTTAGAAGATTTCACTTAAATGATTTAGATGACAGAGAAATTTTATGATGTATTGTATCTAAAAATTTTTTTTAAGAAATTACGAGATATTTGTGTTTTATTAGGATTTGTGGGGATTTATTTTTGCTTTTTATTTTCTATAGAAACGTTTAAAAAGATTAAATATAAAGGTGCAATTAAAATTGTTCCAAATCAATAACTCGATTAATAAAGGGTTTAATTATTAAATAAAAAATTATAACTAACCTGAAAAGCCCTATGATGGGGATGATGAAATTGCGATGTTTGAATCATCTCTGAAAGTATATCCTCTTCGGATTCAAGGTCTTTGCTAGTAGAAGCGGCCGAATCTAATCCGGCGGCGGCAGAAAGTCCCAAGTCTTCGTCTGCAGGATCTCCGGTAAGATTGATGTTTTCGACCTCCTTGGGGTCGACGCCTTCCTGTATGGAATCGTCGTCTAATCCAACCAGTTGGAGAGCTTCGTCCAGCAGGAATTCAGGCAACGGGAGGTCACCAAGGGGTAGATCGCACGGCGGGTCGCAATCAGCGGCAGAGAGGCTGTTCTCTAAGTCGCCGCCAATCACATACTCCCCTGCAAGACAGCAGGAACAAAACGTATTAAATCGAAGCCTACGCTAAATACAACAGGAGACGGTAGTTCATCGACAGAGCGCACTTGCATAATAACAAAAACGTCATCTTTAACGTTCAGACTGCTACTGTGAAAATAATACCTGAAAAATAACACCCTAAAACCTTCGGATGCGACCCTACCAAAACAGACCGAGCGCTTCTATTGGCTGATTGTAAAACACATTTATTTGGAGCAGACCCTTTTCACCAAAATGGCCGACCACAAATCAATTCGATTATAAAAGATTACCAATTTCGGCTTTTGAACCATCATCAAGCGAAAACTCAAAATAATTTATTATTCTTGTTAATTTGGTTTTATTAGGAATTTAAAAAAGAACTTATATATTATGTAATTTTTAATTACATTTATTAGATTAAATTAAACTAAAATTAAAAAAAAGAAAACATGATGTTGGCGCCAATAATTAAATTGAATAATCTGCCACAATGGTGTTTATAACAATTCCCAATTAAAGAGATCCGAAAGGAGTCTTCGGTTTAATGAATCGAATGCCGTCAGGTTGGCAATGATAAATAATGAAAAACAATGGCGGTGTTCGAGTGAGCGAGATGAAGAGTCGGTCGAAAGGGTACCAACAATACCGGTTTGTTTCCTTCAATACCCAATAACAATAAATACAATAACGAACCGATATTCCCGGCGCGTGATTAATGTTACACTTGGTCCGAAAGGGGCGTGTTGCTTTTAAATTAAAACCGCATCGAAAGCCCGCAGCGCGCGGATGGAATTCGAATCAAAGGGGCCGCCATTCGATGGCCGCCATTTTATCGTTCCACACTCTCCTGCAATAAAGACAACTTGATCTTATAATTTTTTAATATGTATCCTCTAAAAGTTTACACTTCAATAAGGAAATAAACTTTTGACCTCTTTATTATATAAGCTCACTCCTAACAAAATTACACATAAAACAAAAAAATCTAAAAAAAAAGAAAAATACAAAACAAAAAGGTGTTAACAAGTACTTTGTATAAAGATAGCGAGAAAAACGAGGTTCGATGAAGGTGGTTCTACGAAGAAATAGAGGTGAATATATACTGCTGAGCAACGATGATGTTGTAAAACGGCTCATAACATTCAAATATTCTTTTGAGAAGAAAAGCGCGGCCGGACAAAAGGAAATTTATATTACCGGTCGACATGACATCTGCTAACTCAATTTTAGCCATTCCAGGCGCCGTTTCACTACTACTACTTCGACTTTGCCGGTAGCAACTCGGATACAAAACAACAAAAGGTTACTCTTGCTTTTAACCCATTGTATCTCAATGGTGTTGCCATAAGTTTCAATATTATTGTCCATCCAAAAAAATGAACCAAATAAACAGAAATAAAAATTGAAAAAAAATTATTTAAAAAGGTAAAAATAAAAAGACAAAAGGTTGTGAAAACGTTGGTTTCAAGTGGGTCTGTTGTTCGTGGGTCGCGGACAGCCACTCTTGAGTCCATCAACCATCGGCCGTCGGAACTCAAGAGGTCGTAGATGCGTATCTATAAGAAGCGGCCAAGGGGGGCGCGTCCGTTTTGGGTTTTACGCGTTTTAAGTAGTCGCCGACCTTTAAAAACTAAATGGATTTCGGTGAGGGAAAATTAAAAGGATTTTTTGGAGGCGAAAGATGTCAGATAGGGTTCGATTCTTATTTCAATCCCAAATGCGCCGCTTCGATCCGACGGCCGTTAAATGTTTCCAATTAATCGTGTAGGAAAATAATGAATATAATTGAAATAAACCATTTAATTTAGTTACTAACAAAACCTGTTATTACAATGTATTATCTTACTTGTATATAAAATGTACGTTTCTATTACTGGTTTAATTAAGATTTAGCTATTAAACAAAAATTGGTTATGGTTTTCATACTTGAACCTATTTTCAATGCGTAAAATCGTTAAGAATTGTTACAAAAGGTTTACCTGGGGGATTTTATGTAGCTTATTCAGAGATCGGTTTAAATGTATTATGTCATTAATCATGTTTACCCCCAAAAACTGGTTATTAATATAATATAATGTAATAATTCGAAATTATTTTTATTTATTACAATTACTTAATTGAACTTTTAGTAATATATTAAGAACATTTTATAAGTAATGCTTAGAATCTAGCTGCCATGTAACAAAAATATAGTAGATTCTGAATATAAAAAAATTGTTAGGTAAAGCTAGGGTGCCCATGGGAGAGAGATAGAGAAAAAGTTGTAAAAACCATCAAAAATATTTTTGAAAAGTCATGCCAGAACTCTCCAGAGTATATCCCTACCTGATACCATTAATCATATATCGGGGGTACAATATAAGATTTTTGACATTCATCTGTGCCCCGTAGGTAGACAACGAAATTCATTAATATTTCATGTTAGCTGCCCATTGTCATGGGCTAATGATACGGCCAACTTATATTCGTATACAAGAGTTATAGAGCAGAGTCCGGTCGTCTGGGTACATTACCTCGTCCGAGCTGAAGAGTTCACAATAAATCCAATGGTATATGCTGGGGGGCCACTCAACAATTAAACAGTCTTCCAGTCACACCGGGTGCTCACACAAAACGTTCTCAACCGACACAACATCATGGACTTGCTCTTAGAAGGTGACTACTCGGTTGCCAAACTACAACTGAGAGCTCCGCCACGACCGGAGCCAATCAGGCCCCAGCCCAACGAAGCAGCTCCAGCTAATATGGCTGCCACGTAGAAACGTTACAGACAATGGGGGGACTGGAGAAAGGAAAACGTTGCCTGGGCAGACCCACCAAGAGGGGAGTGGTATCGAACCCTACTGCTCTAACCCCAGACACTCTGATAGCATAAATCTATCTTTACATCTTAAATTATACCATCCAGAAATTTCAAATACAATCAATATTCATGTTTTTAACCTTAATAATTTTTATAACTTCTTATATTTTATTCATATCTTCATTTATTATATGTAGAATATTAAAGTATTTCGTTTCTAAGAAATCAATTAAAATGCCACATTTAATCAAATCTCGCATTTAAGCTCACACAATACATTTGATTTATTAATTGTTAAGGTTTTCTCATATTGAAAGAAGATGGCAATAATCTAAAACATGTAATTTCCAAAAATATAAAAAAATTGAAATCATTTTTTTCAGGTAAATGATGAGCAGTGGAAAAAGAATGGTAAAACTGACATTAACAATAGAATATTAAGAGAATATAACTCTCAAGAGCCATAAGAATATCTTCTGAAAGGTGAACAAAAGGCTTAATCCACTTAAAAAGGACGCAAGGCAACTTCTTCCCATATCCACTTAATGACAGGTTTTGACTTTTTGATTCTCCTTTTTTTTTCTTACGTATATTGACATCTTAAAACAAAGAAGTCTTCTGCAAATTTATTTTTGTCTTGCCAACCTTGAGCTTTTTATGGAATGCATAACTAATTTAGCTTAAATCAATAAAGTTGTTATGAAATAAGACTAAAATAATATTGAGTTTTATGCACAAGTACGTAAGGATCAAGATGGCTTTATCGAGAAGGGGAAATTGTTTTCTTTTAAAAGAAAATCTTTAGATGTGAAGCAAGAACGTTTCGTAGGGGATGAAATCAAGACAGACCATTTTTCATCTTCCCCCGTTTCCCGGTACTAAAATGGTATAATGACTGAGCACTTTGCTTCGGCTACCATTTCAATTTAATTTATGTAGCGGGATTAGAGCTTTTAAGTTCTTATACTAAAAAAAAATGAGAACAAAAAAATCTGGCCGAATAAATTGCTCGCGATCTTGGTGAAATAATAAGCGGTCCTTGACGTAGTAAAGGCCGGAGTGAATGAAATGTGCTTAGTGTTTGTTATATCACCTGAAACCGTGCCGTCATTCACTAGGAAAACACTAAAGTAAGGAGTCATGACAACTTGCAAGGAGCCTCTTGAAAGTGGCCAACATTTGTGGCGTGCCATCGACAAAAGACGAACCTCTAATTGTAACACTAGTGCCGTACGGCATTGAGGCAAACTCATTGACCATTCGATATGCTAATTTGTCTGTATAATCTAATCATAAAGCCTTTAAACGAACGCTCTCAACTGAAGACGACTCTTCTCAACAATTCCTATTGACGGCTCTATTTTGCATTAAAAATTATTTATCTGTTTTATATGCACGGTACAGTTTCAAAAAAATTTTTGTTACCCCGCTGGGGATGGCAAAGGAAATTTTTGCCAAATCATCTCTAGCTGTACCTAAACGTCAGGGAACATCATTACTCATAACTGGGAGTTATCGGGAGAGCACGAATCTAACTTCTATTGTTATTAATCTAACTCTGAACTATCAATCTGAACGGGCAACAACTAAACCCAAATCTACGGAGGGTTAAACAACAATAAACTTTTTTTTCGAAATTCTTTTATAATAACTGTCTTCTTTTAGTATAAATTGATCATTGCGTACTTGTCATTTTTTTTTAATTAAAATGCATACCTGTTTCTGTATCAATAGTATACTTCAACCCAGCCCAAGGATCGGAATCTTCCTTAGATGACTCTTCACTCTAAAAAAAATCAAACATAAACAAAAATAAAAAAACTAACCTCATAATAACATACTTTCGAGTTCTCCTCGTTGATAGCCTTGAGAGCTTTAAGCTTCTCGATGTCGTCATCGTCAACTTTGCTGGCGGAGGAAGCCGAAGGTTCGTTGTTTTGGTCGTCAGTTTTGAGTTTTTCAGATGGGGATGATGGCATCTCCGGGGCATACCCCAGATCCACATCCTGTTTCCATAGCACTTCGATCAAGTCCATGTCCTTGAAAAACAAATTCATTTCAAATTAGGTTATTTTTGTTTATTTTGAGTGTTTACATTATCTAGTTTGTTATTGGGATTTGAGTAGGAAATGCACGATATTTCCTGTTCGTTTAGCATCATTGCGTATTACACAAGTGAGATAGTTGGAATTGCATCACTCGGTTTCGTCGCCTTATCGCTTGCGCGAATTATTTTTGAACGGGAGATGAGTAAGATAAGAAATTTTCGTGTGATTCGCTGAAACAGTGGCGGCGTACTAAATTAACAAACATAATCGCGAGCATAGATATAACTTTGCGACTTTAGATTATTGCTAATGTAACACACATCAACCGAACTTTAACCCTAGAAATGTTTTTTCTTTATCTTTCCCTTCTTATCATCACGAACGAAGCAGTCAGTTCATTGTATCGTTCAAAAACAGAGGAACGTAACGATTTAAATATTAATTAAAACGCCCCCTTTTTCCAATTTCCTCTTAATTATGCACCACCTGTTTTAATAAAATTACCGAGACGAGCGGTCGTGCATGTAGAGGAAGAACAAAAAAAGGACCGCGAACTCGCCCGAGCACAAGATGGCGGCGGCGACCGCGGTCTGCTCTTCGGCCGAAGGTGTGGTAGGTTGAAACCCTAACCGACCCATTGTCTTTTAAGCTCCTCCCATTTTAATCATATACCCGTGAACGCGTTTTTTTATTAGTTCAGCAATTTTTCATCAGGCACCCACCGAGGGCAATTTTCTTTTTCAACCGCACCTGCTCTTCTAACAGACAACCGTTGAAAATCTTACAAAAAATATTTTATATCCCTTAACAAATAATGTATTTTCATCTAACATCAATTATCTAACGTTGAATTTGTAAATGTATTAGGTAACTTTCAAACATTTCTGAGAATAAAAGGTGGCTAGTCTAGTAATGATGCTATTTGCCATTTAGTTTCTAGTCTCATTAAAATCATCATGACTCACTTTCAGATATCGCAAAGCTTTAATATTCGTCCGACTCGACGATCTCCATCCAAGTAAATTTCATCTAATCTCTTTAATTCCGAAAGGTAATTCATAGTTTGTAGCTACGTCAGCACACGAATCGACCACATGTTATAAAGCTTTCCATACATGAACGGTCAAACTGACTAATTCCCACTTTTACCACCTCTTGATAAATTTATCCGATAGATAATTACCATGGTTCTCATTGGCTAAGGCCCACTTTTACCATGCTCCTGATAAACTATCTAGAGGATAGTTGCCATGGTTACGGCGATTTTAAGCGCTCTCATTGGCTACGAGCTGGATTTATCTATCGGATAAATTTATCAAGAGGTGGTAAAAGTGGGCCTTAGGCCCGTTACTACCAAACCAATGCTATCTATTAGTTAAGCTATTTATGAGATACAATTTATCTCGTAGATAACAGGATAGCATTTATCTCATAGTTAAGAAATCCTTGAGATAACCAAGAAATCTAGGGATTTTTTTGTCTATTATGTTAAATTGACAGCTCTATGTGGTCAAAAGACCTACTATTAGGTATTTTGACGATATTTTAACCTGTGAGAAGAAACAAGTGAGAAGTAGATGTGCTCAAATTCGACAAAACGCGATGAGAACTGGTGGTGGGCCTCAAAAAGAAATAGTGCTCACATCTATTGAAGAAAGAATCAAAGATAAAATTTATTTTAAATGCTGTTTGAAGGAGATAATTTTATTCTTTCATGATGCATCTATATACGATTCTGATTCCGTACCTAGTTGTAACTTAGATTTAACGGATGTACAATTAGTTATAGAGGAAGAACTCGTACAACAACTACAACAAGAAATTGTATATATTATATTATATTGTTATATCCATGATGGATATAACCACTTGAATGAAAAGAGACTGGAATTAACTGAATTGCTTATTAAACAAGCGAAAGAAGAGCATGAAAAGAAAATGGAATTGCTGGAATTAGAAATAAAAATAAAAAGAAAGCAAGAGAGTTGATAATTAAACTTTATAAAAAAATACACAACGTTCAGCTATCAATTCCCTTGTATTTTTTCCATTTCCAATTCCATTGTAAAAAAAAGTAATTTAAGAAAATAAAAATTTATTTACATTATTACTACATTTATTTTTAGTGAAAAACTAAAAACTAAAATAGTAAAACGCTCGAATTTTATACGTCAGCATAAATCCTATTTGAGGTTAAGCATTTATCCCTTAGATAGCTACTTATCCGACACGCAATCCACGGGTTACAGATATTTCAAAAGTTATCCCTTGGATAGCGGTATCTATAAGGTAAATACAGTGGTAGTAACCAATTTTTAAGCTATCCGATAGATAACGCTATCAGAGACTTTAACTATGAGTGGTAGTAATTTATCCAATTTATCTATCGGTTAAATTTATCAAGAGGTGGTAAAAGTGGGCCTAAATTTATAAAAGTCATAATAAGTTATCGCGAATTGAAAGCCCAAAAAGTCAAGATAATATATTTACCCAAAACTAATTTTTGCGAAAATATTTATATTCATAATAACGTTAATTTAATACGCAATTAGTCATTAAGAATATCTGTCGGGCTATAAATAATTTTTTTTCTTAACATAATCAGTAATTTGATAACATACAATCACAATAGTATCGTTGTAAATAAGTGACTACTTGAAATCGGGGGAAAAAAATATGACAAATACAGATTAAAAGTGAGTAGGAAACGTTTCACATGAAGCCGTGCGATTTACGATGTGAGATAAAGGTATTAGTTGAGACCTTGATGGTGAGGAAAGCGAGAAAATGTTTAATTTAATTTAATCTTATTTTTGTCATTTTCTTTAAGCATAAAAATAAAATGTTTGTTGCAATTGTTATTATTAAAAAATATTTTTATTTTTTAATTCTAATATTTTCTGTTTATTTGAACTACTTTTTTTATCATTATATTTTGATTAATTTTGTATATTTCCATTATCTTTATACTTCGATTATCTGTTATTTTTATTTTTAGAAGATTTTATCGAACATCGAAAAATGGTATATCTAACCGATTTTATTGTTATAATAAAGAATTTTATCTTAATGTTTCCAGACAACAAAAATGTTATTTTTTTAGTTGGCGATAAATTTTTTAATCGATTTATTTTAATTTAATAATTTCTTTATATATTTAAATAATAAACTATATATTTTAGGTGTTTTTACCTTTTTTTGCATAATAAATTGTTATTGTTATGTCTCAAGGAAATATTTCAGCTACCAACGATTTTTTTTTTATATTTCGATAAACATTGTGAAATATTACGCAGTTAACATTACGCAATAATAATTTTTATTAAATGTAATAGAAAAATATCAAACAGAATTAAAAACAAATAATTCGTTTTAAAAAGAGTCATTACTGCAAATTTATTTATTAAAGATTAAAGTAAAATTTAATTAGGTGTTGATTAAAAGATTATCGTTTTTTAAGTCGAGCATTAAAGAATGTCGGTCATATCGTTAAACATACGGACGGATTAACAACTAATTCCATTAATATGAACCGCCTGACGACAATAAGATACAATCTGGGACCGTATCGGCGTTGTCATCCCGATTTTCTGGCGGTATGTTAAATGCAAATCATTATAAGGGCATCGTTGTAAAAGAGATCGAGTGCGAGATTTTTCCGTCTTCACATCGTCCGCATTTATTACAATAAATTATGAATGTAAATCTCCATTAAGCCCAATTACTAGATACTAATGTAAATACATTAGGCTGCTCTAAGCTTCCTTATCGAACTGCAATTTGCTCTGTGTTTAATTACTGTTCGGTTTATGTATCTTAAAGGAAAGGGGCAATTACGGCAAAAGTTGCCGTTATGGCTTCCGTTATGGGTTTATTGGGTCGAGTTTTTCTCACCCTCCTCGATATTAGGGGAAATAAGAAACGTGACTCATTGGACGATCGAATAAAAGGGGGGTTACCGAGAACTTCCGGCAATACGACCAATCGCGAAAACGGTCTGTATCGCAAATTCCATCTCAAAATCGCTTCCTCTCCGTCAGATCCGATTAAGGCCGTTTTGCAAATAACCGAGAATAGAAAGGCTTAGAAGATTGTATCTTGATATGATACCAATAAGTGCAAAAGAGACAAACATACCTTCAAGCATTAACCTTTGCTTTACAACAATGGCCGTTTCTAATAGTTTATAACAATCTCATTATTCATACCGTCGCGGGCGCACGATCGATTCCGTATCGTTAAATGAGAATCGATTAACAGCGTCTCTGGCAGGAGGTCGGCCCCTCTCGGATTATACTTCGACTCTTCGTGAAGTTATCTTATATCATTAGCTGTAACACAGCAGGACGCGCACAGGATTGTACTGATGCTGAAGAAAAAAACTAGAGCTTTCGATCCGATAGAAAAGTCAGGTTGATTTTTTTAAGAAAGGAACGTATCAACATAAATTATTTCATTCTTTCACAATCAAACGCCATAAATAAAAAGTTATTGAAACTTTTTATTGATTAATGGAACGTTTTTCGCAATTTATTCAATTTTATCTTTATCACTTGATTGTAGCGTGTCGGGTGTAATTAACCTTGTATATACATATTGTTTTGTAATAAAATTATTAAAATTTATTGAAATAAAGCAACTATTTTTGATGTACTAACACTAGATTAAATTTACTGTAAAATGATTTTTATGTTAATCTCCTTAAACTTTACAACAGTGTGGTATATTCTTTGATTAATTCTTCATTTCTTTGATTCTTTATTTTTAAAGTTCGTTTTTAACATTTTTTCATTATCATATCTTTATGAAAAACACATTTGGCAACATACTAGAACAACATTTTAACATTAAGATTTTCGATTCAGAGTTCATCGAAGAATTCTAAACACCCCTGTATATACAGGTGTCTCAGCGAGAACGATCATTAGATGTTAAAATTTGAGAATTCAGATTTAAATATAATCAATTGCGTTCTCTTCGACTAAAATATT